TTTTTTTTTTTTTTCTCTCCTGAGATGGGATCTTGCTGTGTAGTCTAGGCTGGTCTTGAGCTCAGTATGTAGCCCAGGCTGGCCTTGAGTACAGGGCAATGCTCCTGCCTCTGCCTCCCAAGTGCTAGGATTACAGGATTGCACCACCATACCCAGTTGAATTTTTTGTTTTTTACTTGTTTTTATTTTATTTTGAGGTGTTTTTTTTTGTACTGGGAATTGAACTCAGGACCTCATGGTTTCCAGGGAGGTGCTGTGCCACTGAGCTAAACCCCAGCCTTTGTTTTTATTTTTTGAGACATGGTCCCACTAATAATTCAGGCTGGCCTTGAATTTGTGGATTCTCCTGGTCTCCTGAATGCTAGGATTACAGGTGTGTGCTACCATACTTGGCTTGGAAATTTTTTTTTTTTTTTTTGCAGTACTGGGGATGGAATTCAGGACCTTGTGCTTGCCAGGCAGACGCTTATGCTGCTCAGCTATCTCCCTGGTCTTTGAACTTTTTTTTTGTATTTAGGACAGGGTCTACAGGGTGATCCTCCTGTTTACAGCCTCCCAAGTGCTGGGATTACAGGCAAGCACCACCACACCCAGTCTCAATGGCCATCTCAGCATGACCCCCCAAGGGCGGGGCTGGCATGGCAGGCCTAGTGATTGAATTCCCAGCCCCTGCATCTGCCTAAGCAGGGGCTTTAATCTGCTGAGCTATTTGGCCAGCCCTTTGACATTTTTTAAAGAGAAAAAAATGAATACTAACGATCTCCTTGAATCCAACAAACAGCTTTTCCTGGGGAGGTGAAAAGGAAAAGACCTGAGACCACCTGCTTTTTGGTTTTAGAGAGAAAAATCCAGTAGGACCATAGTTCTAATTGAGTGAAATCCTCCCAGTCCTGTAGAGCTGCCTTTTGGGCTGCAGCTTCTTCGCCCTTTCCAGAGTTAGAGCCCTGATCTCAGAACACTGTGTTAGACAGAACGCTGGCCTGAGTACCCAGTTCTTCTCATCTCTGATTTTTCTTCCCCACCTCCATATATTCTTCCTTTGGAATATATTTTCCTCCACTTCTTGCCTCTTCCCACTGTGCTTCTACTCTGGTTGGGGCTTTCTTTACTTTCTGCTTGGGCACATACCTCCTCTGGGCCTCTGCTATCATTTTCTCCCTATCAAGCCATTCTGCCAATTCCTGCAATCTTCCCAAATCAGCTCTACTTAGCTTCCATTGCCTGTAAAAGCAAAAACAGTCTCCTCTGCTTGGTACCCAGTCTATCCTCATGTGATCCCAAATTACCTCTCTTATTCATTTCGTACTCCTTTCCTACATGTATTGGACTTCAGGCCAAATTACAAAGACCTATTTTTTGTTTTCTAAGTCCATATCAAGGTTCCTGACTTCCTCCATTCTTGGTGAGGTTACCCTGGTTGGAAGGCCTATGCTACATATCGGAAGTCTTCCTTACTCTGCCTCTTTCCTGTAAGAAGCTTTTCTTGAATCTCTTGTTTGAATGTGACTCCCTCTTTCCCCGACCTTTATCTGTTCATCTTATGGGACCTACCTTGTCTTGGGTGGACATTTGTCTAATCCTTATTTTCTCACCATTGGATTACCTTGGAGGCTACAGCCGAGGTTTATTCATCTCTGATTCCCTGAAGTGTAGAACAGTTCCTGGCTCACAGTGCTTTGGAGATAGTTCATTCAACAAATATTTACTGTTTGTTAAAGACTCTACCTTCATCTCTCTAGACCCTCTGGAATTTTCTGAACCCACCCACCTACCTCACAAGTTTATCGTGAGTTGTAACCTGATACTGAATATAAAAGTACATTGGAAATAAAGCAACAGATTGTTACCCAAACGTGTTGTATGTATTATCTTTTGACTTCTTATTTTACCTGTCTAGGGTAATTCTGTACAAATTAATTCAATGAAGCCATGTTAGGGAAGGTCACAGTATCCCTCACGCAGGCAGATGGCGCCATTGTTCATGCACACGTCTAGTGAAGAGTTTTGGCCCTTACGCCACTCCGTAGTCTGTCGCCTCACCTGCTCTCTGGCTACGGTAGTGTGCTGTGGTTACAGCTATGTCGCTATGGTGGTCTCTTCGCCTGTGCCTGGTTCCGCGGACCCGGAGCCGCCAGGTGAGGGGGGACCTCTGGTTCCGCTGCTGACCTGCCTCTCTCGTAGCTCCCCTTCCGGGCCGAAGCACACCCGTCCCTTCTTCCGACCCCCTTTCTGTGCCCTCCCATCTTCCAGACCAGCCCCGCTGCGCCGCCCTTCCCACGCCTCCTGAGCCCCAAGGTCGCCCCCCGTGTCCACTCCCTCGCCCAGCTCTTCTCCGCTTTCTTCTCATCTCCTTTCCATCCCAGCAGGCCGGGTCCCTTTTGCTTCAGTCGGCCCAGCCCCGGCCCTCATTTCAGGCTGGGCGCTGGCTGTCTTCCTCGGCCTCCAGCAAGGATCTCCTTATGAAGCTGCGGCGGAAAACAGGCTACTCCTTTGTAAACTGCAAAAAAGCTCTGGAGACTTGTGGCGAGGATCTGGAACAGGTGAGGAGAGGCTGCAGCCGGGTACTGGGGTGTGACCTCAGGCTCTTGGGGTGCGCAGAAGTCAGATTTGCTGCCCAGTTCCACATGACACAAAATCCTAGGTAGGATCCCGCCTTAAATGACCACCTTTGACTTTGTCCTACTTGGAAGCAATTGACTCAGCACCCCAGGGTTAACCCTAGTCCATAAGACTGTTTGCATGTGTCCTGCTGCTTAAAGTTGAAGGGTTTGTGTGAACTTTGGAGTCAGTCCCAGCAGGACCCGAATTAGTGTGACCTAACACTGTGACCTTGGACATTCTTTTTTTTTTTTTTTTTAATTATTTATTTATTACATTTTTATTTTAGTGTGTGTATGTGTGTGGCCAGCTCAGCCCACCAGGGGGCGGGGCTGGCTGGCATGTGGTGCTGGGGGATCGAACCGCGGTCCCTGTGCTTTGCCAAGCTTGTTCCAAGTAGGTGCTTTAGACCACTGAGCCATCTCTCCAGCCCATTGGACATTCTAATGAATATTTCAGGGTTGAGTTATTTTTGTCTATATACTGCAAATAGTACCATCTGCTCCCCACAGGGACATAGGAAGATTAAATTTAACTAAAGCACCAGTTTCTACAGTGCTTGGTATTCAGCATGTAGTGGTATACTGCCCGTAGGTGTTAGGTTACTTTAGTTTTATTATAGAATTTAGGAGAAGCAGGAAGAATCAGGAAACAATACATTTTAGAGACTCGTTCAGTTCTGAATTCTGTGACTTTGTCCTCTGCTCTTTCACTTTATAGGCAGAGATCTGGCTCCACCAGCAGGCCCAGAAGGAGGGCTGGAGCAAAGCTGCCAAGCTACGCGGGAGGAAGGCTAAAGAAGGCCTCATTGGACTGCTGCAGGAAGGCAACGCAGCCGTGCTGGTGGAGGTGAGTGACTGGACACGCTGCGCTGTGGGTGGAAGGGTCCTATTAGAGCCTTTGCGTTGTTATAGAAGAAGTCTGTTCCAGAACAATAGAGTTAAAATTGAGCTCATTTATTAGCTTTGGATTCATAGACGTATAGACATGCACTGAAGTGTTGATGAAAAATGGCCTAGCAGTCTAGAATATAACTTTTTCTTTTTTTGTATTTTTTTAAGAAAGGGTCTGCAGGATGTTCAGGGTCTCAGTACTAGATCAGACTCATACTGACCCACCTGTTTACAGCCTCCCAAGTGCTGGGATTACAGGTGTGCACCACCACACCCAGTCTCAATTACCGGCTCAGCAGTTGTGCTCTGGGGCTGGCCTGGGGATTAGGCTCAGGGATCGAAACCCACCCTGCTTTGCAGGCACTTTTATCTGCTGAGTTATTTGTCCAGCCCTAGAATCTAACTCCTAAATGTGAGTCTAGGGCAGTTTTGTATCTGTCTGGTCACTGGTTGTCTCCTGAAATAGCTAGGTTTAATTTTTAATTTTTTTATTAGTCTTTTTAATCATTTATTTATTTGGTGCAGGTTCTCACTATGCAGAGTAGTGAGCCTCCTGTCTCTGCCTCCCCAGTGCTGGGATTACAGGCATGCACCACCATGCCGGGTTTTGGTGTCTGGCATGGCACGAGTGGAGTCCTGGGGCCCTTGGGCTGGCATGGCATGCGGTAACAGGAGATCGAACCCGGATCCTTGTGCTTGCCACTCAGGCCCTTAGACCACTGAGCTATCTCCCCAGCCCTAGTATGTGTTTGTGATTTATAAACATACTCATCATGGAGTATTGATACATATACATATTGCTTCTTGATCCTTCTTCCTTTCTCAAGTTAGATTTTACAGTTAGTAATTACATTAATTAGCTGATGAGTACCTATTAGAGAATAGCTGCTTTAGAGGCTTGGGATAGTTGGTGAAAAAGTGGATTAAAAAAAAAATGTTAATTTTTTTTTTTTTTTTTTTTCGGGACCAAGGATTTAATTCAGACCCTTGCACTTGCCAGGGAAGCACTTATTCTACTGAGCCATCTCCCCAGTCCTAAATTTTTTTTTAGTAGTTAAAAAAGTGGATTAATTTACCATAAGAAGAGGATAAGCAGCAAAGGTGGTTTGGAGCTGGAGGAACTGGAGGAGGTGATTATGGCATGAGCCACAGGAGAGTAGTGAACTCATAGCTAGTCCATCCACATGTTGCAGAACTCCTTGGACGCACAGGTTCTTGCTGACTCACTGGCACAGCAGGAATCACTTTGCCGTTTCTGGCCTCAAGCAAGAGAGGGGCTGCAGCTCTACAATTTGGGGTCACTGACTCCTGTGGAGTCTGCAGCTTGTGCTGTCCGTGTCTCGGCTTCCTCTGCAGCTTCCTCTGTGCCTGAAGGCGCTTTTGGGAACCATCCGCACACAGCTTATGCAATGACATCGATTTATCCCTGCAGGTAAACTGTGAGACGGATTTTGTTTCCAGAAATTTAAAATTTCAACAGTTGGTCCAGCAAGTAGCCCTGGGAACCATGTTGCACTGTCAGAGCTTAAAGGATCAACTTTCCACATACAGCAAAGTGAGTTTGGAGTTTTCTCCCCCTTACTGCATCAAAACCATCTCCTGCAGGCTCTTTGCTGTTCCTTGCTCTAGTGTGGCGGATGGAGCCCAGGGCCTTAAGCTAAGCACACAGTCTGCTACTGATCCACATCCCTAGCCCCTGCGATCTGCCCCCCAACAATACTTTTTCACTGTCTTACTTCACATCTCTACTTAAATGCTATCTTTGGGAAGGAGCACCCTTCTGTTATTTTATCTATTTTGGCTCATCTAAAAATGTTTACTATAGTATCTATGTATGGTAATTTTTTTTTTTTTTTTTTTTTTGTATTTTAGGGAAGGGTCTACAGGGTGTTCAAGGTCTCACTGCTAGATTGGATTCACCTGTTTACAGTCTCCCAAGAGCTGGAATTATAGGCATGTGCCACCACTCCCAGTCTCAATTGCATCACACCCTGGGGGCGGGGGCAGCACAGCAGGCCTGGGAATCGAACCCTGGGCCCCTGGGCCTGCTTGCAGGTGCTTTAATCCGCCGAGCTATTTGGCTGGCCCTGTGATAATTTTTTGACTTGAATCTTGTCTGTCTTGCCCAGTATATGAACTTCATAAGGCAGGGCATTTGTTTCTTCTACATCAGCCATGCAAGAGCAGTGGGTGCAGCATTTAGCTGGGCCTCAGTCTGTATTGTTGAATTCCAGAGAGGTGGAGTTAGCTAAATTTGGAGAAACTGTCTGAGACTTCCTGTTCAGGAATCTGGAATGGTCTGAGGAAAGGGTTTCCAAATAGAGAGCTGAGGGGCTGGGGAAATAGCTCAGTAGAATAAGCACTTGCCTGGCAAGCTCAAGGGCCTGAGTTCAATCCCCGGTTCCGCAAAAACAAAAAACTGAGTAAATAGAGAGCTGAGAATGGTACAGTTTAGGAGAGTGAGTGCATTCATCCATAGAAGGACAAAAGAAGGGATATAGCTGTTTCCCTTTCATTCAGCTTGCTTGTTTGCTCTGTCTCTGTCACTGTCGGCGCTGAGGTTACAGGTGTGTTGTGTTGCCGCCATGCCTGGAGATTCATTCAGCCTTATTAGATGTGAACCAACTGGTCATCATTTTTTGTGTGTTTATTACTACTTTATTTCTCTTATCTATCCTTTTCTTGAGATTGATTGGCAAAGTTATGTTGAGAGTGTTGAGTGATGGTGCTGCAGTTGGAACCCAAATCTTCATGTATGCTAAGCAGGCCTTCAGTACTATTTCCTAAAATTGTATTATGTAGATAAACCACTTGAAGTATAAACTAAACTTTTTTTTCTTTTTTCTTTTTTTAAATTTTTTTTTTATTTATTTGTTTATTTTGTGTGTGTGTGGCCAGCTCAGCCCACGAGGGGGCGGGGCTGGCTGGCATGTGGTGCTGGGGAATTGAACCGCGGTCTCTGTGCTTTGCTTAGCTTAGCTTGTTCTAAGTAGGTGCTTTAGACCACTGAGCCATCTCACCAGCCCATTTTTTTTCTTTTTTCAATGGTACTGAGGATCATATCAGGGCCTAACAGATTCTAGGTAAATGTTTACTCCTGAGCTACATCCATTCTAAATTCTAATCTTGATTTTGCCAGTAACTATTTGTAATCCTGTGCCTCTAACTTACTTTCCTGGGCCTCCTTTTAAATTTAATTTAATTAATTTTGGCAGCACTGGGGATTGAAACCAGGGCTATACACGGAGCTAGACCTCAACTTTTTTATTTTTTATTTTGAGAGTACACCTTGCTAAGTTGTTCAGGCCGAGCTCAAACTTGTGGTCCTGCTGTGGCCTCCCAGAGTGCTGCATGTTTTTTTTTTTTTTGCAGAACCAGGGATTGAACTCAGGCCCTTGTGCTTGCCAGGGAAGCGTGAGCCATCTCCTTGGCCCTCTTTTCTTTTTTCTTTTTCTTTCTTTGTCAAGATTTACCATTTGTTGGCATTTTGCTGCATTTGCTGTATCTCTTTTTTTTCTTTTTTTCTCTTTTTTTTTTTTTGGTGGAACCAGGGATTGAACTCAGGTCATTGAGTTTGCCAGGCAAGTGCTTATTCCACTGAGCTATCACCCCAGCCCTCTTTTTTTTCTTTTGAGAAAGGTTCTTACTATGTAATTTAAGCTGGCCTGAACTCACTATGACTGCTGTGTAGCCCAGGTTGACCTCCAACTTGGCAGTGATCCTCCTGCCTCAGCCTCCAGAGTGCTGGGATTACAGGTGTTTGTCACCATGCTGGCTGCTTTCTATGTTTCTTTTTTTTAAAATGTATTGGTACAGGGTCTACAGGATCTCACTACATAGATTGGACTCGTAGTGATCTCCCTGTTTTCAGCCTCCCAAGAGTTGAGATTACAGGTGCGTACCACCATGCCCAGCTATCTCAGTGCACTCTAGGGATGGGGCTGGCACAGCATGCTGGGGATCGAACCCTGACCACTGTGCTCTGCCTAAGCAGGCACTTTAGTCCACTGTGCTATCTGGCCGGCCCTTGCTTTACTTCTTTATATAGATATTGTTATCATTAAAAGAAAATCTTTCTGTACAGTGTAGGTATTAGAAACCTTTATTCCTTCAGCATATATCTCCTAAAAATAAGGATGAGAATATTCTCTTCTATAACCACTGTACACTGTCACATTTAAAAGTTATTTTGGTACTGGGGATTGAACTTGGGACCTCACACTTGCCAAGCAGGCACGTATGCCGCTAAGCTATATCCCTAGCCCCTAAAAGTTTTAACATTGGTACAGTATTTGTATTTATATGATATACAGTGTATATTCAAGTTTTATCAGCTAGCAGCTTTCCTTCTGGTCCAGGAGCCAATCCCACGTTGCATTTAGTTATCATTGGCATTTGGTTCCTCTTTGTTCCTTTGCCTTTCTTTGTATTTCACTATGCTAACATTTTTTGAAGATCGGGGTAAGCTTTGCAGAGTATTCCTTAATTTAGGTTTATCTGATGTATCTTCATCATTAGACTCAAGAAACACTCCTTTTTCTTTCTTCTTTTTTGGTACCAGGTATCAAGCTCAGGACTTTGTAGTTGCCAGGCAAGCACACAAGCTGTTGCGCTATCTCCCCAGCCCTGACATTCCTTTTCTAGGAAAATTACATAGCATTTTTCTCAGATCGTCACATGAAGGAGCACATGATGACCTTTGGTTCTGTCACTGATGATGTTGACTCTGATTCTTTTTTTTTTTTGGCCTGCTCAGCCCACCCTGGGGGCAGGGCCAGCAGGCATGTGGTGCTAGGGATCAAACTGCAGTCCCTGCACTCTTGCCTAAGTTTGCCTAAGCAGGCACTTTGGACTGTTGAGCTATCTTGCTGGCCCCTCTGATTCTTGATTATAGTAGTATTGGCCAGGCTTTTCCAGTTCTTGCCACTTTCCTCTTTGTAGTGAGTAAGTAATTTACAGGAGAGATTCTCTGATGTCAAGTAAGACTTCAGTTTGTCAGAATACTTTGGTGTAATGCTAGGTTTGGCATTCATTCATTCATTAGTTTATTTATTTATTTATTTATTTATTATCCTTCTGGGTCTCCCTATGTAGCTCACACTGGTCTTGAGCTCACTTTTGAGTTCAGGCGGGTCTTGAACTCAGAATAGTCCTCCTGCCTCAGCCTCCCAAGTGCTGGGATGACAGGCGTGCACCACCACACCCAGCCTTAGCATTTATTGATGATTCTTTCCAGGCCAATCTTTACTCCTTTAGTTGTGTGATAGCTATTTTTTCTTATAATTTCTTCTGTGTATATTATTTAGTTCACATTTTACTGTTAGATTAACCTTCTTTCTTCTTTATGTAATGACTTATTTAGTGCCAGTGTTGACTCACGGATTCATGCAGTGGGTTGTAATTTATTACGTGACACATTATCCACTTTAATGCCCTAATTATTTGTGGATTTGGCTGTTGTAAGTAAAACCTTTGCAAGCAGGCTCTGGTGTCCTTTCTGTATGTCTGTATTGTTTTCTGAGGGTTTTTTTTTTTT